TCACACTCCATAGAAAAAGCTAATATTATTTTTAAATTGAAAGATATAGAGATATGCTCCATGCAATTCCTATAAATGAATAAAAATGCATTCAGGATTGAAAAACATTCATTTTAACATTTGTGAATCAATATTTCTGAAAATCTGAATCCATTTCAATTTATTTCAATCCATTCTGTTTGGTAGATACTAACTCTTAGTAGAATCAGCATTACAGAATGTACACAGTAGATTAAACAACGAAAAGCAACGAGAGTATCATAAATTGTACCAAAAATGGTAACATACAAATGCTGTACTCTGCACGACCAGGTGGTGACAATTCATTCCTTTGTACAGATTTTCACTCGCATCATTCTCTCACAAAAAAAATCGCAAAATACAATTGTTATTCTTTACTCTCATAATTAGCATGCGTGAAGATAAGAATGAAGCACACAGGATAGCATTTAAAGTTGTAAGAGATCGCGAAAGTTGTGTTGAATCATTAATCTGTCGCGCGGATGCCCGCGACCAAAGATCAGATTGCACTTGAGATCGCGCTTGTTTACATCATTGTAGAACAAACATTGCTTTTGTAAGTCAAAGCAACGCGTTTTACGAGGGAGTACGAGAGCTCAAATCGACGGTCTCGCAGCTGCAAAATTACATATTTCTCATACGCAACGAAATGTCTCACCTGCGAGATACCGCGATGTTGGAATTATTTGGACGACTCATGTCAATTATTAATAAATTATTCACAGTGACTCGTTAAAGCGCACGCGGCTCGTCTTGAATTCGATCATGGGACACTTAGCAGTTGGCAGCTTTCCGATTAACATCAGCTCATCAGATCGTCAGCTGCAAATCGAACGATGCGTTACGATGCCAACACTATCATAATCTTTGACATGTCCACACTGTCCACAGTCCAGTGATGTCCAGCCTACCAGCTTGCGTGAAAACAAAAAAAGCTTCGATAGTCGTGCTCGATGTGTATAGATAGGTCGCGTTCGGTAAACTCATGGAACTGGCTAGGGATATACTATCGATATATCGAAATATCGATATATTTTCTCAGCCGATATAGGGATATTTTTAATCGATATTCCAGCCTCCGATATTTTCAAATATCGATATTGAATTTGTATCATATCGATATTCGATATAAGGCGTATTCCGACATACACTGCCAGTACTGAAAATCTACAGTATATGTGACGTAAACTATAGATTTTCAGTACTGGCAGTGCATATCGGAACACGGCCATAGAAACTTAGAATTTTTTCAATCGCAAATCCTCGAAAACGCCGACTTACGCCGATTATGTTGCATGTGTCATAATTCAATTTGACCAATCAGACTCGCATTCGTATTGCGTGATTAATACACAGGCGCTGACAGTAGCGTACTAATCTCTTAATCGTATAACAGATTGAAATAATATTTTGCATTTCATTATAAATCACAAAACACAATTATACAACAAAGTTCGGACAATTTCCTCGAATAGTTTCGAAGTTATGAGCAAAATACTGAAAATGTGATGTAGATGTATTTCTCAGATTTGAATATTTCTTTTAATCGGCTTTTCTCCAGTTCATTATTTCGTTTTTTGGTGCCTATTTCGACAATTCAAAATTGTACAATCGCGTTTTATTATTTTCTACAATTTTTGAGTACACAATCACTATTTGCTCGAAAAATTGTCTGCTGCAATGCGCAGATGCTGATGTCACAATCCAGGAAGTGTGGGTCATCTCTGATATTACAATATATTGACAAACGAAACGGGGATCGGCTTATGGAGATATTACTCTGCGACTATATGTTGACCATCAACACCATCTAGTGACAAAAAACCGCGGATACTTTTTAGATGATCCAATATATACGACATTCGTGTTCTGACCATATGGACCATATTTATCTGGAAACTTAATTATTTCAGGGTTATGTTGAAATTCCATTATCACTTCATTCTTGTTATTTATCAAATGTTAAACAAGAATGACATAACACCCGGAGAACCCAGATAGGAATCTGAACATGTTGATTAATCATGCTTTGTAGGAGACAGTTTTCTCCATTTAAATCAGCTTAACGAAGTTAGTTTTTATAAGTATATTTTTAATGAAAGAATGTTATTTATTTCACATGAGCATTAAAAAATACATTAATGAAAGTACTTCCCATCACTTGTAAAACGCTACGAATTAATTCCAACACCTAATATAAGAAAACATTTGACTGATATAATCCGGCTCGTAATCAAAGGTCTGTTGTGCAAAAGATCAAGTAGTGAAACGGATCGCGCGCTCGTTCATATAATATATCTGCGTGATGCGCAGGCACAAAATTGCTTGTGAAATCGTTACAACTTCAAATTTCGATTTAGGACTTCGGAAACATTTTTCAGATATGTTTCTAACAATTTACGCAAAAAAAAATCGATTTTTTTTTACCCGTTACATCAAGCTCCTCAAAACCTCGTTTTGTTCTATAAGCAAGGATGTGAGGATGTAGAAGGAATCTCGCTTCGTGTGGAGTCATAAATTCAAGTAAAATTTCATTTCGTCTTGTTATGTATATGCATAGACGCAATTCTGCGCTCTCTTCCTCTCCCTCTCCCTCTCTTCCCCTCCCCCTTCTCTTCCTCTCTACAGAGAGGGACTCAATCACCGAAAAACTCGAAATAACAAAAAACAAATAACTTTGGATTAAAACCTTACTTCGCGTGGAAAGCTGTAAACTCATATAAAATAAAGTTCCACATTCAATCCTATTCGTCCAATTTTTTAATGGAACCCTTTTCTCCTTCATGAGAAGGAATCAGAATCCAAGCACACGCTTTACAAAACAAAGTTCCACACAAAACAAGGTTTCGACTTTCCACGAAAAGCATAATCACTCCATTTTCCCCTGTTTAGATAGCAAAACGATGCCTAGAATTGTATTATTCCACAAGGATTTTCCTACTTTATATGTAAAGCAATTTCTAATTTGGAATTAAAATTTAGTTTAGATTAAATTATATTTTTTTCAGAGTTTTTCTCTCCATAAAATGGAGAGAATCCTTTCCCGTCCTAACACTTACCTAAGTATACAAATATGTAAATAATGAATATTTATACTAGGTAAAGTTTAAATTATAATAAATTCAGGATTATCACAGGAATTCAAAATTCCTTAACTTTTCCAAGTTTTCCAGATAAAAATGGAAAATTGATGACCATGATACCAATATAAAATATGTAAAAATTTTAACATTATAAAATATGTAAAAAGTTTTAACATTTAGAATCAAAGATTAAGGAAGGATGTAAAAAAGCTTATATTATTAAAAACGCAAAAGAAGCTTAGTAGCATAATAAAATTTTGGAGGCAAATTCAAGCCAACAAAAAATAAATTAGTATTGGAAAAAAGATTGCAATTATAAAAAAGAGCGATCAAATAAAATTACTCAATAAAATATAAATTTTAATTATTTTTTAATCATCGTTTAAAGTGGACGAATCTTGAACGTATATGAATATAAACGTTAGATATTTTAAAAATTATAAAAATTATTAGGTGTTGGAATTAATTCGTAGCGTTTTACAAGTGATGGGAAGTACTTTCATTAATGTATTTTTTAATGCTCATGTGAAATAAATAACATTCTTTCATTAAAAAACGCTACGAATTAATTCCAACACCTAATATTTGGCATAGGAGCAGTTTAAGGGAATTATGAGCAAAGTTCAAAATTCTAATACTTTTCCCGGTTTTCTATGACCAATTTTAATTTCTCTGACTTTTCCCGGTTTTCTAGGTCTGTAGCAATCCTGTAACTAGAACAATTGAAGCAGGCAAATTTAAATCATAAAGAAGAATAGATAAAAAGATTTTTGCTCATCCGAAAAGTAAAATACGCGTGGATCATTGTTAAAGGTACTTATATGAACATATGTTTTTTTTAAGTCTAGAAACCAATGTGGGAATGAAATTAATGAAATTTGACAAAAGATGACATATTAGTAATTTTCAAATGTCATGTGTAATATCACGAAATGTCGCAAACAGTTTAACCGATTTTTCTCTAAATTTGATAAATACTTTAGGGATAAGGACAAGGTAACATCCTTGTTGATTTTTAAAGAAATTGACTCAGGCCCACGGGGAGAGAAGTTTTGTCATATGTTAGCATATTGCATGTGACGGGTCAGAAACAAAAACATTTGGTAATCTTTGGTCAGTTGTATGTTTAAACACGATGTTTCCTCTTGCTTGCCATCATTCGGGGAGTTTGTTTAATGCACGCATGCATACATGCACGCACATAGTAGAAAAATCCTCTACCATTTTGCATTTTTCGCATTAGTTAACGAATTACTAATTTATGAAAATAGTCAAATTAGCCCAGACTACCGTCAAATGCAAACGCACGGCGAGATAAAACAAGTGATATTGGCATTAATGTGCCTAGTAACGACGAATGCGCGCCTCACTATGCGGGCTTATCTCGCCGCGCGCTTACATTTGGCGATAACCCGGTAGCAAATTTGGTTATTTTTATAAATTAATAATTCGTTAACTAGTGTGAAAAATGCAAAATGGTACAGGACTTTTCTTCTCAATTCAATTCATTCTATCCCTATGCAAGAGTTTTACTATTAATTATCAAACATCCTGTATATAAAATTGTTACAGTTCACTCAAATTTGGGTAAACATAAACATTTTTCAACATTCAAAAACAATTACGCAAAAAAGGCTGATTATATCAAATCTGGCAATTTGTTGATAACTCAACTTATTTTTGACATGCAAAGAGCACGCACGTACGCACAGATTTTGTATTTGCTGAAAAAATATTTGCTCCAAAGTGAATCGGAAACAAATTGTTTGGATTACACCATAAACTGTAGAATAGAGCAATTTTTTTACTTTATTACTTTGCGTACTAATAACTGTGGTCTGTTGGTACTCTCATTTACCTTGTTGGTTTCTACCTTTGATTGTATATAAAATATTATTATATATTATTATATAATCTAACCTGAGATCGTATCATAACGTGTGTAACACGATCATCAGTCCGTACTGATAGTACAAAATCGCCAGGTTTACTTTGAGACTCACGCACCAAGAAAGATCCATTTTTCCCACGTTCCAGCATTAACCGTTCTGCTTCTTTCGCTGACAAATGGCCATGGAACCACCTTTAGTAGCATTTGACTATTAATACATGATATGCTATACAATAATTTAAAATAATATTACCAAATATCAATTTTTTAAAAAGAAATACATAAAAGGATCAAACATTACATAAATATTGTATAAAAACATTTTCTCACAAACAATTATAATTTGTACCTTTCAGTCGTAGGATCAGCACAATTGAAAGGATATTTAAGCTCAATAATTTCACCATTTTTCTCGCGTAACTGTCCACCATTATCCATGTAAAATGATACCAATTCAGAAAGAGTAGCAAATTTTTCACCACCATAAAGATCATAGAAGTCTCCTGCATTTTTTATTTTAATATGAGTCACTTCACCGTTCCGTCTGAAAATAATGAAAATAAAAAAGTATCCGATATTACGAATTAGTATATATTTACATGATTTATAATTAATTTATGTAATAATATAACTTGAACATAGTTTTGTATTCACCTAACAGACAATGTAAAGTCACCAGGATTTGAAGAACTTGGTCGTGCTAAAAATGAACTGTCAACTCCACGTTCCATTAACAAACGTTCCGCCTCTAAACCTGTAATATTGGGATGAAACCATCTGCAAGTGGAACGTTATCTCTATTAATAGTATTACACACATTTGGTACTGACAATTAATTGTACAATTCTCTGTTAAAAAAGGGACTTTATCTGTTCAAAATGAGACTCATTCAGCAGTTACTCGTGTAACCGTGGGTTAGCTTAACTGAGGTTGGTAAAAGAGATCCTAAGTACATTTGTATCAATAAATCCATGGATATGTTTAAAAAGATGCTATTGATGCTATTTATGTTATTTTATCCTTGTTTTACATCTAATAAATATGATGAAGATAGAATAGCAGCATTCAGCAAAAAAAAAGCAGCTTTACAACTGTTGTATAATAAGATTCTTTATTGTATAATAAGATTGATATATACATTTAGAAATCCAATGAAAAATTAAGAGTAAAATCAATCATATTAAAGAATTTTATAATAATTGATTTTTTTCTTTCACAGCCAATGACTACGGTCAAGCCGGACAAAGCTGCTAGCTTACTTGCCGAACGATTGGATGTGGAATTGGTTGGATCTATAAGTATTAACCAATCATGTTCATTTGCTTGGCGAGCAAACTAGCCGCTTTGCCAGCTTGAACGCGTCCATTCATTCGTTCGGCGAGCAAACTAGGCAGCTTTGTCTGGCTTGAACGCATCCATTGATACAAATATAGCACTGATTGTGTCTCTCTAAATGCACCACATAAATGCACTTTATAAATTTATGGTGAATTCGATTGAAAATCACTCGCACTACGCTGAATCAGTGCATATTAAAAGCTACTTTATATAAAATATCTCAATGCAGTGATATAATATAATCAACTTGAATAGTAGAATTACGATAGTTAATCGTTTGAAATATTTATATGTTTTTACATATTTTCAACTTTGCTAATTTTATGTACACTAGCTTTTTAGTATACATTGATCTAGCATAACGCAAGTGATCGAATCCAAGAAACCGAATTAGTCAATATACTTTTTACATATTTAAAAACATCACATATTGAAAATATCTTGCATACAAAGCCTTAATCTTCAATTGTTAGCAATATTAATCAGGGAATGGAAGTAACTCGTTACTTGTAATGAAATTACAGTTACAAGTTACTTTTTTGGTAATTTCGCTGGTAATTGCATTACTTTTTTTCTTTGGTAACTGTAATGGTAACAAAGTTATATTTTTTTGATAACGGTAACGAATTTTAGAGTTACTTTTATCGTTATTTTGCACATGATTGGACACGATATGACATAAGCCACTTACACTGTAAAAAAATTTCTTTACATATAGATATAAAATGGATTACATAATTAGTCCTGTATATTATATATAAAAAATCATGCAATATTATAGAAATTATGTAACTCTACAAAAATTGTAAATTTTATCATGTAAATATCTTATTTGATATTGAAAATTATATAAATAGTAAGATATTTTGAATATTTTCTGTAATCATCCAAATTTTAATAATATTACGTAATACAACAGATATTTTTTTGGATATTGCTATTAAATATAATAATATATAAAGTATAATAATATATAATGCGAAATGTATTGTCATATTATCGTTTCTGCATCTACATATACACATTGTAATTGTACTTCCACAATCTGCTTAGTTACAAACCAAGAAATTATTTTTATTTGCATATTGCAAATTTACAAACGTGTGGACGTTTACAACTATTACAGTGGGTCTCAGAATTATCCACTATAATAGTTGTAATTTTACACAAAAATTTTTTATAGTGCATAGAGCTTGAGACTAAAGAAGCCCCTAGGCCTGTCCGCTGTGATTGGCGATCATAGATTTAAAAAAAAAATAACGGAAAAGAAATGAAAAGTTACTTTCTCAAGTAACGGTAACTGTAACGAGTTACTTTTAAAAATCGGTAACTTGTTACTTTTTTTACTCGGCAACGAGTAACTGTAACTTGTTACTTTTAAAAAATAACTTTCCATTCCCTGATAATAACGGCCAAAATTAATTATACTCAATTGGTCAATAGCAGTGTATTTAATTAAGAGGGTATAACAAATTAAAATTTTCAAAAAATCAAAAAAATTTTTTTCGGAAGATTGATGTCTTAAAAATATGCTCTTGAAAGATTTTTATAAAATTCGAAGTATTACTCAAGTTATGTGAGTTTTATATGAGTTTTATATGAGTTTTATATGAGATATATGAGTTTGTTAAGGAACAGGCGCACAGTGCTAAATATGCAATATTGAAACTTTAAATATGTTTTTCTCAAAACTACTTTTTTTTAACTGTCTATAACTCGAACAATTTTCGACCGATCGGCCTCAGCTTCACAAAACAGTAACTTCACAAAACGAATAATAATTACAACTTGAGTTCTCTATATTACCGATGGACTATGTTTTTTGAACATGGAAGTCTACAATGCTGTGTAACATCACTATATATTTATATTTTGATATATAAAAATTCTTAAAATGTCTTCAAATTGTGCCCAATTCATATACCAATTCATATTTTTTCTAAAACTTATAGTTAAAAAAAAATTGACAAAAAACTTTTTTAAGACCTTTACTCTGTTATATCTTCTTAATTGTCCCATTCTGCAACATCTTGACAACTGTTTGGTATCATTATGTTGTTATTGCATAGATATTATATATGATAAAAAAACTATGCAACAACAATATAACGATACTAAATTGTTGCTAATAGGTTTTCTATAATAAACCATTATTTATCTTTGTAAATCATAGGTTGATCGAACACTGTCTATTGCAAAAAACCTACGATTACAATTCATGTTTCACGACTCAGTTACAACCATCTTTGTAATGAGGCTCTTAATGCTGATTCTTCATAAAGAATCGGTAGATTCTTATGGTCCCAAGCCTTTATCAATGAAATTGGCCAACAGCCAACTTGTACAACTAATACAAGCGATTTTCTTAAAACTGGGCAAATTTAACTTTATTCCTCCCCCTAAGTTAGTCAAGCTAAATGACTTGCTGTCGACTATGATTAATAATTTATAGATACAAAACATCATAGTCATCTATTTAGGTTAAGATAAGACTTCTGATTACCAATTACCAACTCATTATAGAACTCTAGTAATGGAAAGAAATGAAGTTGAATTTGGCCAGTTTTAAGAAAATCGCTGTCTTAAGAAACTCGATAGTCTTACAATTAGTCAGATAGTTGTATAAGTTGGCTATTGGCCGACTTGACCAATTCACCACTAATGGGCTTTGTACAATAAGCCATCTAATCTTTAAATCTGAAGTCATAAGAAATTATCAAATTTTAGCGGATTATTCTTCTAATTCATAGTAGATTTGATTGTGATTGATCAATTACTTCTGGCTTAAGACTTAAAACTTAGATAATGACTTATTATGGAAAGTCTATTAGAGTATATTAGAGGACTACTGACTACCCAATGAATGAGAATGGATTAAAATAGATTGAAATTTTTTTCTATCAAAACGTGTTTTAAATAGCGAATACTTTTTTTTATATTTAATTGGATTCAATTGAATTCAATTAGATTCAATTAGATGCAATTGGATTGAAAAACTGCATTTCCTATTCAAAATTTTGAATTAAACAATATTCACACTCCATAGAAAAAGCTAATATTATTTTTAAATTGAAAGATATAGAGATATGCTCCATGCAATTCCTATAAATGAATAAAAATGCATTCAGGATTGAAAAACATTCATTTTAACATTTGTGAATCAATATTTCTGAAAATCTGAATCCATTTCAATTTATTTCAATCCATTCTGTTTGGTAGATACTAACTCTTAGTAGAATCAGCATTACAGAATGTACACAGTAGATTAAACAACGAAAAGCAACGAGAGTATCATAAATTGTACCAAAAATGGTAACATACAAATGCTGTACTCTGCACGACCAGGTGGTGACAATTCATTCCTTTGTACAGATTTTCACTCGCATCATTCTCTCACAAAAAAAATCGCAAAATACAATTGTTATTCTTTACTCTCATAATTAGCATGCGTGAAGATAAGAATGAAGCACACAGGATAGCATTTAAAGTTGTAAGAGATCGCGAAAGTTGTGTTGAATCATTAATCTGTCGCGCGGATGCCCGCGACCAAAGATCAGATTGCACTTGAGATCGCGCTTGTTTACATCATTGTAGAACAAACATTGCTTTTGTAAGTCAAAGCAACGCGTTTTACGAGGGAGTACGAGAGCTCAAATCGACGGTCTCGCAGCTGCAAAATTACATATTTCTCATACGCAACGAAATGTCTCACCTGCGAGATACCGCGATGTTGGAATTATTTGGACGACTCATGTCAATTATTAATAAATTATTCACAGTGACTCGTTAAAGCGCACGCGGCTCGTCTTGAATTCGATCATGGGACACTTAGCAGTTGGCAGCTTTCCGATTAACATCAGCTCATCAGATCGTCAGCTGCAAATCGAACGATGCGTTACGATGCCAACACTATCATAATCTTTGACATGTCCACACTGTCCACAGTCCAGTGATGTCCAGCCTACCAGCTTGCGTGAAAACAAAAAAAGCTTCGATAGTCGTGCTCGATGTGTATAGATAGGTCGCGTTCGGTAAACTCATGGAACTGGCTAGGGATATACTATCGATATATCGAAATATCGATATATTTTCTCAGCCGATATAGGGATATTTTTAATCGATATTCCAGCCTCCGATATTTTCAAATATCGATATTGAATTTGTATCATATCGATATTCGATATAAGGCGTATTCCGACATACACTGCCAGTACTGAAAATCTACAGTATATGTGACGTAAACTATAGATTTTCAGTACTGGCAGTGCATATCGGAACACGGCCATAGAAACTTAGAATTTTTTCAATCGCAAATCCTCGAAAACGCCGACTTACGCCGATTATGTTGCATGTGTCATAATTCAATTTGACCAATCAGACTCGCATTCGTATTGCGTGATTAATACACAGGCGCTGACAGTAGCGTACTAATCTCTTAATCGTATAACAGATTGAAATAATATTTTGCATTTCATTATAAATCACAAAACACAATTATACAACAAAGTTCGGACAATTTCCTCGAATAGTTTCGAAGTTATGAGCAAAATACTGAAAATGTGATGTAGATGTATTTCTCAGATTTGAATATTTCTTTTAATCGGCTTTTCTCCAGTTCATTATTTCGTTTTTTGGTGCCTATTTCGACAATTCAAAATTGTACAATCGCGTTTTATTATTTTCTACAATTTTTGAGTACACAATCACTATTTGCTCGAAAAATTGTCTGCTGCAATGCGCAGATGCTGATGTCACAATCCAGGAAGTGTGGGTCATCTCTGATATTACAATATATTGACAAACGAAACGGGGATCGGCTTATGGAGATATTACTCTGCGACTATATGTTGACCATCAACACCATCTAGTGACAAAAAACCGCGGATACTTTTTAGATGATCCAATATATACGACATTCGTGTTCTGACCATATGGACCATATTTATCTGGAAACTTAATTATTTCAGGGTTATGTTGAAATTCCATTATCACTTCATTCTTGTTATTTATCAAATGTTAAACAAGAATGACATAACACCCGGAGAACCCAGATAGGAATCTGAACATGTTGATTAATCATGCTTTGTAGGAGACAGTTTTCTCCATTTAAATCAGCTTAACGAAGTTAGTTTTTATAAGTATACACATGTATACGCACACATGCATGCAGGCATCTGCAGAATCCACAAAAGAAATAAATTTGCGCAACAGAAAACGACGGAATTGACGAAATGAAGCCATGATCAATCACGAGCGTCAATTTCGCGTTGCGCCAATTCCGCACCATAGGGTCACCCCCTTAGAGTGAAATCACACAGTGCGGAATAGAGAATGCGTCATTGAAACAATCAATTAGCGCTTCGGAATAACGCAGAAGAACACTGATTGGTTGCTTCTATAAGCTTCTAACGCATTCTCAATTCCGCAGTCGTTTTCCGCACCGTGTGATTTCACCCTTAGGAGGTGCGTGCGTGCGTGCGTGCGTGCACATATAGGTGTTCAAAACAGGTTGGGACTCCGAATTTATTCGAAAGGATAACGTTTTTGAAAGAAATGTTTCAGACAAAAGTTATAAGGTATGAAAAGATCTTTACAGATTTTATCAGTTTGACCTTGGATGACGTCATCAAAGTTAGATCAGGTTAAATCAATTTTTTTTAATGGGACCCTCCATTTTTTTATTACATATCCTTGTAGTTCACCTCGAGAGTTTTTCAAAACGCTACAAAAAGTAAGTAAAGTTCATTTTCATTAAGTACTTTTCGTGTTATGAAACTTAAAAGTTACAGTACCACTGACATTAGCATTGGCTGCGTTCAGCAGAGAAAACAGCTTTGTAACTGTTGTAAAATTCTTCAGTATGATTGGTTTATACGTTTAGATAAGAAATTAAAAGTAAGAATTAATTATATTGAAGAATTTTACAACAGTTGAGAGCTGCTTTCTCTGTTGAACTCCATTATCCAAGATGTCCGACTGCAAGAGGCTAAAACCTTTTGAATGTTGTTCAGGATTATACCCTGGATAACATTTGTTGAGATCAAGGTCATTGGAGGTTATATCTGTTATTTTCATTTTTATGTAAAAATTCATTTTTACTGCAAAAATGAAAATAAGAACAACCTCTACTGAACCATTTAAGAAGTTTTAGCTGTCGGACACTTTACGTAATGCTAATGGCGGTGGTACTGTAACTTTTAAGGCTTGTAACTCAAAAAATACTTAATGAAAATAAACTTTATTGTAGTGTTTTGAAAAGTTCTCAAGATGAACTACACAAGAATATACAATATAAATTAGAAGAATCTCATTTTTAAAAATCGCCTTGATTTTGATCTGACTTGGCGATGCTACCTAAGGTCAAATTGATAAGATCTGTAAAACCGATTCTATATTAGTTGCAAGCTGATCGCAAGTTTGTTGTATGAAGCGTTGATTTCAAAATGCAAGTTTCAGATTGGCTGTCGCAACAAACTTGCGATCAGCTTATAATTAATGTAGAACTGGCTTAAATAGACTTTACAACTTTATTTTATATCTTACAACTTTTGTCTGAAACATTTCTTTCAAAAACATCATCCTCCCGAATAAATTCGTGATCTCGACTTTTTTTGAATACCCTGCATGTGTGTGTGTGTGTGTGTGTGTGTGTGTGTACACGCACGCACGCACACACACATATATAATGTACATAATGAATTATTTGTTATCAAATGAAATTGATGAAATATTGGGTCATCTAAAAAGTATCCGCGGTACTTTGTCATTAGATATATGACCATCAACACACATCTAGTGACAAAAAACCGCAGATACTTTTTAGATGACCCAATATATTATTATATTGTTAAAACACTGTAAGTGAAGAAGGTCATCTGCGATCGAAGCGAATCTTGGTGCTTAATAATATTCTGTGAATTTTTTTTTTTACAATTTGTAGCCCACGAGATTTTATCGATCTTGAAACACAATCCCAAAGCTAAAGTACGTAATTTTACAAATTAAATTGATAAGCAATTTAATCATCGATACTAACTAGCTTATTATAATATATTGTGTTTCAAGTCCAAGGAAGCAGTCATCTGATGCTGAATTCAAAAAAGATTTGTTAAAATTGTTATCGGGAACAAAATTTCTGACGGTGTTGAAGAATTTTTGCTTCAACTGATATTTTAAGAAAATTGCCATATAAAAATAGAAGGTTATTTGAAACTAAAATTATAATAGATGCATTAAAAGCAGAAGAAAAGGCAAGTAATAACGACTTGCGTAATTTATATTTATAAAAAAAAATTTTATTTTGATGTAAACATTTTTATTTTCGCTCTTGGAAAAAAAAGTGTACAAAACTGTATAAGTTTATTTACAAAATTATTTATGTAGTTAAGTAAAATACACATTCATTTATACATTTTCTATAGATTTATTTTAAAATTCAACTTTTTCATTGCTAAATAATAAAATAAATATTTTTTTTATTTAAATAAAAAGATTTTAATTGTGCGATTAAAAAATTGTTATGAGATTATAAATATTAATTGTAAAACATTAAATACTACAACAGTGATAATTGTTTTTACAATTTGAAAAATTATATTCATCATTTTAATAAATAAATTATTAACATGAAGTTAGTAGTTTTTAAATTATTCACTGGACTACCTTTGACGCATCATGTGAACACAACACACAAAACTTGCGTGGTAGAAAAGTGCGGAATAGCGCTGATTAGTTGCTTTAATGATGCATTCTGTATTCCGCAGTCCTATTCCAGACTGTGATTTCAACCTTAGGGTGCCGTCCTTAAGTACACAGAATCGGAATGACGGAATAAATTTCTTACTAAGGCTACGTTCCAAAACTTCCTCTCCGAGGAAAATTTTACTTGAAATATATACATATATAGTATACATAATTTATAGTATACATTTATAGTATACATAACGTATACTACAGTATATAGAATAAAATCTTCCTCGGAGAGGAAAGTTTTGGAACGTAGCCTAAAAAATTGAGTTCATTACAATTCCGTTCCGTAAGAAATTTGTCCCATGTAACCGGAACGGAATGGAAACAGACGGAATGTCGCAAGCTAATTTGCTTAATTTAATTGATATTTCGTTATTTTAATACGACTAAAAGCAATAATATGCAATAATTTGTGCAATTATCTTACCTATAACATTACTTTAAATACTTAAAAATACTGAATTATCAGAATTATAAGAGTGAGATATATTTTGTTACTAAAATTCCTTTGCGTTCCGATTACATGGGAAAAGAAAATTTTTACGGAACAGAATGGCATGTTCAGTTGAGTTGGTTGAATCTAAAAATTGAAACGAATATTCAGAAACTTTCTTTATCATTGTAAATCTACAACGATGGAGAAATAGTGTTATTACTAATGTTAAAATTATTGCGAAAGGCAAAAAATGTGTTAAGTTGGCGTGCTATTCTAATATTTAAGAGTATGCGAAAATTTTATTTCGCTTTTAATGTTTCATTGCAACAGCAGAAATATACAAAAAAATAAAAATTCTGAATACAGTCAATGTTTACACAAAGAATGAGGCGCAAGTGACAATTTAGTCGTTGAATTGCAAACGACCGATCGTGAGAAATTCTTCAATTATTTCAGAATGACATCGGAATTATTTAAAGAATTACTGCCATTATAATTAATATAGGACTGTGTGTATATCAAATAAGAATATATCGTATTGAAAAATAAGAATTATTATTAATTTTCTTCTTCAAAGTTATCAAATTCTCAACCATTAACAAGGAAGCAGGATCGACATAGCCTGCAATCGACATGACATTCCGTCGATTTCGTTCCATGAGTAAGAAATCCGTTCCGTCGTTCCGATTCCGTATATGTACTGTGTGGACAGCACTCTTAAACGGAGAGCACAGACTCTTGCATAACGCAAGTTACATATAAGTCAACACGTAATGAATAAGAAAATGAACCGATCAAAGTCCTTTATTTTCTTCCTTTT